CTTAAACATAGAGAATAAGAATTTTTTTTTAAAAAGAGTAAGAATACGTTTTTTCTCAAACGGACAGAAATGCTATTTTTTCTTGTTTTATGACATTTTCCATATTTTATCCAGTATGGACCTATTTATGAAAATGACAGAATAAGCACTTAATCCAAACGCCCCAGATTATGTTCTGTTCTCTGTATGTTTTTGTGAATGTTGTTACATACAGATGGTTCCATGTGCTCAGCCGGCATGGAGTCTTTCGGTAGCCCTAGTGACAGTTGATATCAATACAGTTATTATTGCTATTGATATTACGATTACTAAATTGTTATCAAAATATTGATAACATTTAAGACAAATAAATAATGCAAAGTCCCTTTCTAAAAGTCGAGGAAAAGGGTAAACAAGTGAGATCAAAAGTCAAAGTTAAAGTTGATCCCATGTCTTTGTGAACGTAGGGGACATGTTTGCAGAGAAACATGCTTACTAAGCCGCGGGATGATGCGATAGGGTGGCCAGCTCCTTTCCGCCCCGACCTTGACCCCAACATGCTGACGTCAGCATATCAGTACTCATTCACAGCTGAGTCGACTGAGAGGGGCGGCGGCCGGGTGCGAACCCAGGACCTTGCGATTGCAAAGCCAGCACTCTACCACTGAGCTATGCCACCCTCTAAACAAGTGAGATAGGTAGGACTAATAACTGACTCCTTGGTCACTAAACACTTGTAGAGCCATCTATGTGCAAATACAATAAATAAACTTGTATTACAGTGGGTATGGCATGAATTCTCGCCATATGGAGCGATTGGGTTAAGACCTATCTTGTATTCAAGTTACTACATTTTAAGTGGAATTATTATCAAATTCAAATCATTCATCACATGGATGTGTGATTGAAACCTTACAGATATAAGGGGACCATCTGGATCTGGATATGAACTTTCATTTTTTTTTTTTTATTATTATTACTCCTTTGCCTGCTCCTATGGTATACAAATATCACATGACTTTTTTGCCAGTAAACTGACCATATACTACAGAAACTTCCCAGCCATTTTATGGTGTTGGTGCACATTGTACTTTATACAATGGTACAGCTTCAGAGACAGTGTAATACTTGTGTTTCCCCTTATCATGTGCATTTTTAACCCAGGGAAAATGAATAAAAAATGGGGAAAATGCTGTACTCATTTTTTATACTTTTGTGAAATATCTCTATACATAGATGGCTCTGCTAGTCCTAATTTCACCTTTCCTTGAATTGGCGGGAAAAAACGCATTCTTACTAGTGCTATAAATATAGATTGTGTTATTTTTAAAAGCAAATTAGGATAATGTTAAATATTTTCGTAAATCGATGAAAAGGGTGAACGGGCGAGACAGGCAATACTCGTAATTGGCACACTGGTGACTAAGTACAAGTGTAGCCATCTATGTGTAAAAACAATCAAACAAGTCGACTCACAGTCGGGAATGGGTTCAGATATTCAAGAAAATGAAGTATAACAAATACACAAATCACTGGGCCTCAGCTCCAAATTATCATCAGAGCTGTCTATTAAAATTACACCTGATCCTATAAGGTCTATGATCTACCAATAGAGCGATCAATATGTGTGTGTGTGTGTGTGTGTGTGTGTGTGTGTGTGTGTGTGTCCCTTCTCTCTCTCTCTCTCTCTCTCTCTCTCCATTTCTCTCTCTCTCTCCATTCTCTCTCTCTCTCTCTCTCCATTCTCTTTCTCTCTCTCCATTCTCTCTCTCTCTCTCTCTCTCTCCATCCTCTCTCTCTCTCTCTCTCCATTCTCTCTCTCTCTCTCTCTCTCCATTCTCTCTCTCTCTCTCTCTCTCTCTCCATTCTCTCTCTCTCTCTCTCTCTCTCTCTCCATTCTCTCTCTCTCTCTCTCTCTCCATTCTCTCTCTCTCTCTCTCTCTCCATTCTCTCTCTCTCTCTCTCTCTCTCTCTCTCTCTCTCTCTCTCTCTCTCTCTCTCTCTCTCTCTCTCTCTCTCTCTCTCTCTCTCTCTCTCTCTCTGTCTCTCTCTCCAACACACATGCACGCATGGTCAAACACTGTCACGAGAGGCTAAAACAAAACCTCAATTTCCTGTTGATATAGTGCTCCAACATCTTCCAGAAGTTCACCTATAGTGAGATAAGGTTCACAAGACCTAATAAAGTGGAAAAAGTGACTTGAAGTGAGTGGACTTAGAAAATTAAGTGCTTTTTTTTAAAAAGTGATACTCCACTGAGGAACCCGTGAAAAATATTTGAAGCTTGCGCATGCGCACAAAGGTTCATGACATCATAAATCACTCAGCAAGCACCTCACCTCACCTTTCCTCACCTCCCCCCGTCGCCTACTCCGACCTCACCATGGATCTTGAAGCACTGAAAATACTGCTGGACGATCAAAGGAAATTTGTAAATGAAACAATTGATAGGATCGACGGTAAACAACAAGAAGCCATCAGATCAAGCGATCGCTAAATTAATGACCTGATCAACAGCCTGGAATTCACCCAAAAAACGATGGATGACCTGGCCGCAAAAGTGACTAGCTTGGAGAACAAAAACTGCCTTCTCTCCTCTGACCTACAAGACACTCTCCGTGAAAACAATCACCTCAAGTCGGAACTTGAATGAATCGATGAATAGCTTGACTACTAAGACGATCAAGGCCGCCGTAACAACCTTCGGCTTTGTGGAATTGCAGATGACCCTCAGGAGAACTGGGAGCAGTGCCAGTTGAAATTTGTTAAGCTTCTGAGGAAAAAACTGAACGTGAGTCCCACATTCGAGTGTGTGCATAGAGTTGGGAAGCTGGCAACCCACCACACACGCCCGAGGGACATCGTCGCCAAGTTCTTGTCCTACGCCGAGAGAGAAGCCGTTTACCGTGACAGGAGGAAGTTGCATGGCACGCAGATATTCATTAATGAAGATTAATGCCCCGGCACCATAGCAGCAAGACGGCAACAAATGAAGAGCTATCATGCAGCAAGACGAGAAGGAAAATTCGCCTACTTCAACTATCACATGCTGATAGTCAGGGAAGGAATGGCTGGAGGAGATCGCCACGAGCGGGAAGTGGACGCTGCCCCGGAGTCTCTGCGCACCATCGCCGCAAGCCCCCCCGCGACGCCGTCTCCCCCTCCCCCTCGGAGCACATCCATGCAAGAATTCCCTCATGCGCTGTCCACAAGTCCCCGACTGCTGAGCCCGCTCTCCTCACCCAGCCCCCCCAAACACCGGGGCCCTCTCCAAGCCAATGCCAGGTGGTACCATGAATGACACAGGAAAGCGAGAGGAAACAGGTTTACCAGTCATCATAGTAGGGTTACTGAGGTTAACGTTATCAAAGATTCCAGTTTATGATGGATGCCTTCATATTCCCGTTCAATAATGTTAGTGATCTAGAATTGAGCAATACTCTCCATTATGCAACATCCTTGGATAACTTGGAAAAAGTAAATTACTATAATTTTCCACCCAGTACCTCTGATGTCAAACTGATCCAGACATATTTCTCAGGTCTAATTTAGGCCTCGATAATCCAGACTGCAAATACTCTTTCATTGATTCTCAGCTCAGCAATGTCCTCCAGCTGTCTAAAATAATGATATCTGTTATAAGTCTAAATATTAATAGCATCCCTCTCCATCTCTATACATTCATAGACCAATGCTTACATCCACTGAATTTCAACTTTGATATCTTGTCCTTCTGTGAAACCAAATTAATTACAGATATACAACATCTCTTCAATGTACCTAATTACAATGCCTATACCAACAATTTATCCCGCCAAAGTGGGGGAGTGGCCTTGTATGTGAGGAACTATCATGATTCGTAACTACAGCCAGAGTTAACTATTATGGAGCATTGCTTAGCAACTCTTTTTATAGAAATTAAAAATCAAGAGGTAAATCTGGTGGTCGACGTAGTTTGAACACTTCCTTGATAAAATGAAAGAAATAATAGAAGTCATTAGTGAAGAAAACAAACATTGTATTATTACAGGTGATTTTAATGTAGATTTATTGAAGAATATATCAGATGCTAATGTTCAAGACTTCATAGCCCTATTCAATTCAAAATTGTTTTTTATGTCTGTCACCAAACCTACATGAGTGAGTCCTACATCAGCCACACTGATAGATCACATTTGGACTAAATCAACTATCCAACCATGTAACAAGCAGTGTCATCCACACAACCATCTATGACCATTTCCCCATCTTTTCAACTTTCAAAACCTGCCTTAATCGGGAAACAAGGAGGGAAATAAATATAACCTACAAGGATTTTAATGAAGGCAGTATTGGCCAATTTAGGGATTCCTTAAATAATTTATGGTGGGATTTACTTTTGTGTTCAAATGACCCTAATATAGTTTACGATAACTTTATCACTATTTTTTCAGCCGGGTATGATAAGTATTTTCCTGTAAAATCTAAATCAATCAAACCAGAATCCCATGATAAACCCTACATAACTCTAGCAATAAAGGCTCTTATAACTGAGAAGAACAGGCTCCAGCGCCTATATACAAAATGGCCTATTACATAGGGAGATCAGTTCAGACTAGCGCGTAATCATCTCACCAAAGTGATTCGCTCTGCCCACAGAAAATACTATACAGAAAAATTAAAGTCTAACTCAAATAACTACAGGAACACATGGAGGATCATCAATTCAATTCTGAACAGAGATAATAAATCTCAGAATCAAACGATAGAAGTAGAGGGTCAGTCTCGAGATTCTACTCAAATTCCTCACTATATCAATAATTATTTTGTTAATGTTGCAAATAACTTAATTAACAATGTCCCTCATCCATTCCATAGTTTCATGAATTTCATGGGGCCTTCGCACAACACAAATCTATTTTTAAATCCCGTAACCGAATCTAAACTCTCTGAAGTAGTAAATCAACTGAACAACTCTGCCCCCGGTTATGATGGCATCACAGCACTGCCATTTCCCGTCCCCTGCTCCAGTTGTGCAACAT